CAGTGCTATCACCTTCAGTAACATGGCTGGAGAAATGTGCAAAGAGCCAAAGCGCACTGCAAAGCTCACAAAGGTGACACCTGACCATCATCTCAAACCATCTCAAAGCACTAGGATACAGTAGCGAGAGAAGTAAATATGGTTATATTTTAAACTGTTGCAGAGGATGCATATAGAGAATTTTCTCCAATACATTTTAGTAACAGCCATTCTTTAACTGCCTCCTGAGCAAAAAACGTTTGTTTCTGAGGTTCTTTTTTTTTTTTTTTTAAGCAATTAATCATCCTAAAAGAATTTCAGATGATCAGAAGTATACATTTTTTGTCTAGATCTGATGCTCACCGTGAATTTAAAGTGAAACAAGAGAAGGAGCAAAATAGAAGCAACACATTGCTCTTCACCAAATGAAAAACCAACACGCTACAAGACAGCATTTGTTCTTGGGTTTTAGGACCAGTAGGCAGCTACTGTGTTTAACACTGGCATCCTCCTTATTAACTCTAAAAGGTGCAAGAAATCACAAGCTGCAACTCCAAGTACTTCAGGCCTACACTGTTTTCACTGAAAATCTGTCAGCCTGTTCATTTCAAGATAAAATGCAAACTTGAAGCCTCTCGTGTTCTAAAAGGTCTATAATTCAAGCCATCGAAGTAAACCTTCCTCCTAATGTTCTTGCACTTTAGTTTCCTCTTGCAAAGTAACCTCACTAGCCCTCAAACAGAACCACTGAGCAACAGCAGCCGCACACTTCTACGTGACAATCCTTCTAACTCTCAAGCATGTTCTCCTTGAAGGTTCATCAGAGCACAGATTTCTCATTCATGGCAAAATGACTTTTGCAATCCAATTTAATTTGTACTTTCAACAACTCCTTACTGAAGCAGAAGATCTTCCAAAGCAGTGGTGCAATGTCACAATTTCCCAAAGAAAAACTAAACAGTGAGTTCAAATGACATTAGCCAACAGGATGGACAAAAACAGAATCTCATAAAAACAAACTAGGTGGTCCTGCATGTAATGAGCATGCTATCTCCCCAACAATTCTATGAGAGCATGCACATACATACCATCTTAAAGCTACACAGGGAAATCATACAATGTACTGAGACAGAAACACAGTAGTAACTCAGAAACTAAATAAATCCTCTTAAGGAGATTTAGACAGACGTGACTTTTGTAAGCAGCAATACTTCTGTGTACTTTCTGTGATCTGTTCACGAAGAATAATTCTACTCTCACTGCAGCAAGCAGATTCTGAGGAGTTCAGCTGTTCTAAAGCCAAGCAGGAATAAAGCCAAGCAGGAATAAATTTTTCTAACGGAAAAAAAAATTCATCACCAGCTTACAACAGCTCACCCTGAAACCATTTCCTAAATACTTCTTCTAGACCTTCAGGGCATATCTGTATTTGTGGCTCCGCAAATCTTGTGGTTTTTGTCCTTGGCTATACGAGAGAGAGTTTTTCATTCTCTTTTCCTGCACATGTCCTTTGGCATGCTTGCAAATGTGAAAAGCAACCCACAGATCTGTAAATACAGAGCCACGAGCTCAGAAAGAAAGATGCGATCAGACATATTCTAACACACTGACATTTCTTCTGATCCTGGCTGAGAAGTCAATACAGTAGCAAAATACCGGCACGCTGCTAGAAACTATCCTAGAAACGAACAATCTTAGAGAAAATCTGCCCCTAAAAAGAAAGGAAGAACTTAAGACCGTGAGCATGTCATAGAAAATACCTCCATTCAACATGTAAATCCACTTATACTGGAATCAGAGGCACTATTTTGCCTAACTAGAGGAAAAAAAAAAAATCATTTTGTTTGCAACATGTATGCTCTGTGTCTGTCTGCCAGTCTGCAACAACGCAAGTCCCAGTGCTTCCAGAGACAATAATTCTCCATTTCAAACTGGTGAACTTCAGACAAAGATCCCATCGACTGAGTCTCTATACAATTGTTAGTCTCTTCAGATGCAACAACTTTTACTGTCAGCAAGACGATTATTTAAAAAATAAACTTCTACTAAACTCCTGTACTTGATCTCACTCCCATTCCTTTCACACCCTGAAGTCACGCACCTGATTTCTGTCTTTCAACCAAAGACTGGAGGTTGCCAGCAGCCATGAGACAAAGCACTGCAAGGGATGAAAAGCAGGCACTGAGATCAATGCTCAGTCATTGGGATGACACAGGAAAATACATCTGAGCAAATCGATTTGGGGTTTAACCAAAGCACGCTGGTGAGTAAAGCCATGGGATATGTGCTGCTTGAGTATTGTGCCATCTTCCAGAAGCTACATCAAGCCCTTTCCAGATATGTGGCTATTCTGAGTTTCCAGTTTCTCTCAAAAAAAGGCTTGCTAAGAAATTCCCTGGAATCTGGGCCCCAGAGAGGGTGATGGGGTAGAGAGGAGGAGGGAAAGGGGGTATTAAGGTGCTCACACCAAAGCCATGTGACCAATGCAAAGGTAGTCAGGAAAAAAAGCAGATTTTTTTTTATAATAAATAAACCATCCAAGCTGCATTAGTGTTCCAGATATGTACTCAACAAGACCCTCTCCCAGTCACAAACCAGCAAGAATGGGACATGAAAACTCATTCAGACAGCTAATGGCACAGTCTCTTTGAACTGTGGAGAGAGGATATGCTGATTAAGGCCCACCCTTCTTTGTGTTTCTTATATATATGCAACAGCCATGCCACCCTGCCACATCTTTAGGGAACAGAAGATCCATCGGAGCAAAGACCGACGTATCCCTTCTTTAGTGAAAAAGCTTCCTGATTAATTGTATTTTTGCACAGGCGTGAAAGTAAGTAGGAACTTTCAGACTCAGGAACGAACACGATAGCTGCAGTTTTCCCCATCCTCTTACTTCACTGAACACAAGTCCCATGGGGCTTGTGCTCCTTTGGTAGAAACTGTGGTCCACACTGTGGCCTCCAGACCAACACAGTGGGTACCAGCATCTCCTCTTCCACTTCTTCCCTACCTCCCTGAAGCTCACCCAGCTGTATCTTTTACTGCTCCGAAGCTATTACTGTGGGAAATTTACATTTTTGCAGTACTACTCATAGCCCTAAAAGTCTTCTGTGCAGCCTGAAGTCAGAGAGACATCAGACACCCCAAAAATATGTAATTTTAGCCATACTGGTGGGATGAGGGTGGGACCTGTTGGATTAACAAACCCCTGACATTGCCATTCTATTTACACATCAAACAAAAGAAAACAAAGTCAAGTTAAGAGTCTGCCCCAAGGATAATACAAATTACCAACCAACCAACAAAAAAAAAAAAAAAAAAAAAAAAAGATTAAAAACAAGCAGCAATTTTTATATAAAATTAATAAAAACAAAAGACAAATGAAAAAGAAATTGTCAGTAGCATCTATCGCCTCTCTGCATCTGAACTGCACTTATACAAACTAGTCCATTAGTACAGCAGCTTGCTAGAAATTGACTTTGGTTCAAGCTTAGTTTTAAAAAAATAAAACATAAAAAAATCAAAAACACATTAGAAACGGTGGACGGACATTTGTTAGTTTCCCTGCTTGCAGTTCACAAGTTTTGAAGTTACGGGGATAATTGGTTTAAATATTCAGTAAAACAGGAAGGTGGAGAGTTAGAGATGAACAGAGCAAAACCAAGGCAGTGGGGGGAGAGATAAGGGATTCTGCCACTTGAGTGCAAACGCAAATCCCACGTGCTTAGGTCACCAACCAGAGCACATGTAGAGTTTAAAGTTGCTGCCATCTGGATCTTGGATGAGAAACTCCAAGATCCCCCTGAATCATCAACAAAATGAACGTAGCTGCATTAGCTCATTATTTCAGAACACTCTGGTGACAACAGGAAAGGGGTAGGGGGAAGGAACTCTCTAATACCCTTGCTAGCTTAAAGAAATCTAGTTTTAAACACATGGCAGAAACCGTTAAATCCATCCAGAATGGAAGTTCAAAGTGAACTGCATTGCAGTGATCCAGTCTTCTCTTTTCAAAAGTCTATTTGGTTCAGATACTAGATTGTATATTTAAGAATATACAGATCTAACTTCTGTACAGTCCATTACTCTTCCTCATCCACATAAATACTCTTTGCTGTATGGATCAGAATCAATCAGACAGTTACAGTGGCAGGTAAGTCCCGACGCTCCGCTCAGAGATGCTTACTGCCATTTCTACATAGCTAGCAGCATCACAGCTCAGAGACCACACGAGATCACCAAGGTATGTGCAAAAACAGAGACAACTCTCTTGTGTTGGCATCAAAGATGGCAGCTTCTGTTCTTACAGTTTTGGTTTTGGTGTTTTGCAGCCAGAAGCTTTTTTTAATTTTTTTTATCCCCCCCCCCTTTGGAAAATTCTCCCAAATACAATGTTGGAAACATTAGAAGCATTTTCCTTCATTTACTTCTACGATTAGAGAGTGCCAGGCCTTTTGAAATCCTGTACCAATTCATCCGGTAGAAATCCAGGACGGTAAATGCTGCTTCATATACTTCCAATTAGCTTGAGTGACTTCAAAATATTTGTGTACATTCTTAAGAGCAAAATCAATTCAACAGGACAAAAGAGCCATCAGTATGCCACACAATCTAGACTCAGGAGGTTAAATTCCACTCTCTGAAGTAAAGAGGAACCATGCACACGAAGCTAAGTGTAAAGTTTGGCCATTTTGTCTAAATAATTAAGAGAAGGAGAACTGTGGTTCACAACTAATTCCTACCTCTGCTCAAAGAGCAGAGACCAGCCTGGATCTTCGCACACAACCATCTCTACCGCTACACTGAGCTTCCTGCACAAGCGATGGAAATTAATCCTTCTGACCCCTCTAAGTAGACGTCAGACAAATTTAAGGATGAGGAAACTGTTCAAAACGTTCCCAGAAGATTAGGACAGAAAGTCTCTTTGTGCTCATTCTTCCTCTCCACCCTCCCACCCTCCCCCCACGGTGTGGGAGCTCGCTGAAAATAATCCAGGAGCAATAGACAAATGCGTCCAAACTATATATATAAAAATAATAATAATAATAATCATAATAATAATAATAGAGATACACCAGTAATACAGGCCTGCCTAAATTGTACCAGTTAAGAAAGGAACCCCCAATAAGATTGATACGATTATAAACACCTTGTATGACATAATGGCCTGTACAACAGACCAATAAAATGATAATTAAAAAAGAAAGATATTTAGACCAAAAAGGAACAAGAAATCCCCGTCCTATGTTTGAACTGATAACCCACCTTAACTTGTCATTGTGACTGCTGGAAATGATAAGTAGTCCTTTCACTTTTTTTGTGTTGGTTTTTTTTTTTGTTGTTTTTGTTTTGTTTTGTGTTTTTTTTTTTGTTGTTTTTTTTTGTTTGTTTTTGTTTGTTTTTTTTTTACATTTTTGGTTAGAAAGTTCTCCGATCCATGAAGCGATCCTGAAAAGACAGTGTTTATTATAAAATTAGGCAAATGTCTGTCCCAGCTTTAAATCCTTCCTGTTTTGCTTTTGCTTTTTTGTTTTGTTTTTGTGTTGTTTTTGTTTTTGTTTTTTTTTTAATATTTCTCCTTCTCTCCCTTGTCCCCAGCAACACGGTGAGAGGATGACCATCACATTTTTCAGTTCATAAACCCCACTGGCAGCCAATCCCACTGCACAGTGAAAAAGGCTGCTGGCAGCACAGCTCAGCCCAGCTCACTGTGCCTTGGAGGCAGTAGTGGTGGTGGACGTGGCCCCGCTCGCAGAGGCCACCGTGAGGAGAGAGTTCTGGATGGACTCAGCTGAGGTGGAGGTGGCATGAAGGCTGGCAACTGGTCCAGAGGCCCCTGCGGAGGCTGCAGCTGCAGAGACCAAGCTAACTGGGTTGCTGGTGAGCAGAGAAAGGTTCTGAGGGTTCAGGAACAGAGGGGCAGTTACGATGTTAGGAGTACCTCCAGCATTGGCAAACACCAAGTTTCCAGATGCATCCAGTGATGTTATTGGAAGAGAGCCACTAGATGCAAGAGCTAAAAAAATGGAAAATTAAGCAGGGAGGAGATAGCATCAGTAGTAAGCAACAATGCAGAATGTGCCTAAAAGCAACAGGGCTCTGCACTTTCCTTCTCTGATGTGAATGCTCCCTACACAACTAATGACAATCATCATATGTAACTTTTCTTTTTTAAAATGACAAATCCTTATGAAGGGTGGATAAGACCTTGCAAATATTAAATGCTTCTGCCGCCTGCTCCTAATTCCATCAAGCTTTTCTTCAGCTCTTTCACTGCAACACTGCTGTGTTTTCTGTCAAAGAAAAATCTGTGCACTTAGGTAACTTGGAAAGGGTTGAGATGCGTGTTCACTTGAAACAACAGTTATCACAAGGTGAAGGTCATGTAACCTTGAGAGTAACTTTTAAAATTACAACATATAAATGCAGTTACAACTTACTCTCACAAGGCTATAGGGTTCAGTCTGCCTTAGATTATGATCTCATATATTTATCTGTGACCCTTTGTGAAACGGTTCTTTCTTGGACCCTGCAAACAAGATTTATTAAGCTGCTTTAGAAGATCACAGAATCAATCACAGAATTGTAGGGGTTGTAAGGGAGATCAGATAGTCCCCAAGATGTCTGAATACACAAGGTTAGCTAGATGTTAAGGCACCTGCACCAACTTTCTTTTTCCCCCCATAGATGACAAACTATGAACTGAGAACAGATCTTACTTTTTAAAGTCACTGGAAATTTTTGACTGCATGGCAGTTGCAAAACAAAGCTTTACTCCTCCAGATATGGATTTATTAATTTAAAGTTAAACGTAAGCAGTTTTAGGGGTAGAATTTTTTTCACTTGTACATTTAAAAGACGTTTGAGAAGAAGCCAGGATCAAGTCTTTCTCAGAAGTGCTCTCCTACAGATCTCAAAACAGTGCAACTCTGCTCAGGCTTATGTCAGAAGAGCTATAAAATGCATCTCTCCAACCTGCTGGAGACACACGTGCCTCTAAAACTACGGGGGGAAGACAAGAAAATCAATTTCAGATCACACGCAGTATCTTAAAGGCCTTCTGTGAACCTGTATGAGATTATACATGGTTCTAATCTACTTTCTGAAGTTGTACCTGAATCCATGATACATACAATGAGTTTGGGCATTTGAATTTTGAAAAACCTCTTGTCTGACAACACTTATGTGCAGTTCTGAAGGGTCAGCATTCTTTTTTTTGGTAGAGAACAACAAAGCTAAGGAAGTACAACGGAGATGCATTAAGAAGAACTTTACTGACCTTGAATAGTTGCCAGTGTACTGTTGCTCATCAGGGCTGGGCTGAGAGCACCACCTAATGTCCCTGGATTGAGACTGAGTAAGGCACCTCTGCAGGAACCAAGATCATGGAAGAAACAAAGACAAAGGGAAAGAGTGTTACTTTTAGGAAAAGGTGACCACTGTTTAGAACTACATGATCCCACTTTTTAAATAATGGCAGGGGGGAACGCAGAAGATTAAGGCCTCAATCTAGTTTTTAGCTTATTTCATTTTTTTCTTTGACAATATCTTGAGTAGATATTGCCTTTCAGCTCTGTGGTTAGCAATATGTCTGAAGTACAGGCACTGCAACTACAAGTTGCATTGATCATAGCTGTAAAGTATTCCTGTAATGTATTTTTGGGAAACCGTAACTTGTTAAACAGCTGTCATCACCCCCTAGATTCAGATAAGACAGATGTCAATCAAGAGGAATTGAAGAAACAAAGAGCCATCTCTCAGAGCAATGTTTTTTAAAGCAAAAACTTTGACACATATTATGCATTTTTACAACTTCTTGACTGTGATGGAGAAATACAGAGGTGACAGGTAGGCCTAGGTCAACTCTCCATTTGAGATGATTTGATGACTTCTGGTAAGTTGCAGCTCTTAAGTCAAACTGAGCAGTAGGATTGATGACTTGGCAAATTATAACTCTGCAACACAGCTTTTTCATCTGTAAAATGAAAACCATGTTTGTGTACTCTGATGGGAACAGTATCTCGACCATCTACAAGCAAACCTTCAGAATTTCAGGTAATAGACACTAAAACTGCCAAACGAGCTACCAGAAAACTGCAATATATAAAAGACCTCACGAATTATTCCAAGAATTCTCCTTCCCTCTCCTGCCACTTAACCTGTAAGGGTGTGAAAAATTCATCCTTACCCAGCTGCAAACTGTGAGGATGCCATCAAGCCTGGGTTTAGTCCTGCTGCAGCAGCCATGGCAGCGAGACTTGCATTTGCAGGCAACTGTGCAGCTCCTTGTAATGCGGCTGCTGCTGCTGTTTGCAACCCTGATGCTGTTACCATCACCTGGCTGGTCCCAAGAGGGGAGGACAAGGGAGTGGAGGTTGTCTGTGTTGTGCTGGTCTCGCTGGCACTGGATGCCTCTGAAATGGAGGCTGAGGCAGAAGGGGAAGGACTCAGGGAGGGTGATGTCACTGCTGAAGAAGCTGGAGGTGCCGTTGAAATCACTGTTGCTGTGTTGTTGGAGGTGGTTTCTGTTGTGCCTAAAAGATTGAGTCTGGTTATATCAGTACAAAAACCAGATACAACTGAGCAGAAACCACTTGAACTGAACTGCACATCCAACGGAAAGGGAGGTAAACACTCATTCTTCTAGAACAAAGAAGTCTGGCGGTGCTGAGTTTGGGTCTCAGTCTACAACAGAATGACACTTCAAGAAGGGGCAGAAGAACACTAGAAAACTAGCAATAGGAGGTAGCACCTTTCACTTCACTACTACCCGTGTTTGTTTCCCCAGAAAAGTTAACCAAATGGTCACAAAGACTGAAGTTTCAGAGAGGAGTAATGAGGAACAATGACAAGATGCCCCCAGAGACCTGTGTGATTGCTAGTGAGATAAAGAAAGACCTTCTGAATAATTTGAAAGGGGAAAATGGTAGAGGTTAACATGGGGGCAAGGCAAATCTACGTAGGAACTTTGTTTAAAGTTGAGAGAAAAGGAATGCTTGGAACCAACATACAAAAGATGAGTTCACAACATCTCAAAGATTCTTTATCTATCATAAAGGCAATTTTTCTTCCCTGCTTTCCAATTCCAGCCCAGCAGCTTATAGATATTTGTCTGAAACATCTTCACATCTCATTATGCACTGCATACATCAAAATCCAATAGCTACTTTATACAAAAACTCAGGCAGTAGATCCCAGAGAGTTTTAAATTTCTTCCAGATAACTACAATAAAGGATACTAGAAATCCAACAAAATCTTTATTTCTATAAAACCTTAATTACTTGTCTGACATCATGATTTACCTGACAATGAAAAATAAATGAACTGTGGAGAAACTGTCATGGCATGCATCTTACCTGTGACTGACAAACTAGTTACAGCAGGACTGGTCAGAGGGAGCACAGGATTGACAGTCAGGGTAGTAGCTGCACTGCTAGTCACAAGGCTTGGCGTGGTTGCCACCTGGAGGTCGAAAAAGAATACAACTGCTCAACTGTTAAGACAAAAGCAGGTAGCTACTAGACTTGCATTTCTTTCTTCTCATCCTCGGCTGAGGATATCACCAGGGAAAATACTGCACATAAAGTAACTAGTAAAGGATCTTCTAAATCCATTACTTCAGCATTCAGTGGGCTAGCCATATTACCAACTCTTATTACCAGCAGTATCTTCACCCTTAATAACTCAGCATTTGAAGGGAGGTTTATCCGTATATATCCATACTGTCTCAGGACTGCAAGTTGGCCCTCCACCTATCCCTTCCTGCCAAAGACAGAACCTTGCTTAATAGAGCCACTCTGCCAGAGTTACAAAAGATACTATCAATGTGTTTTTTAAGTTCCTATTAAGGTGTTTCCTTTGTTTAAACATCTTTTCAGCTACACATCCCGTTCTCTGGTAAAATGACGGAGAGGCCACAGCGTTAACAAAGGTCTTTAGGGTAGTGGGTTTACATGGATAAACAGCATAACGTTTCATATTTATTCAAGCAACATATGAGCTCTATTTTGCTAAGTTCCCTTATGTCAGAGGAATGTTCTCTAAATTTTAAAACATCCAAATGACATTAGCTTATTTAACATATGGACAGCTTAGTACAAGCAAGCTACAAAATAAACTGCAGATACCATGGAGAGAATACACCGTAAGAACTAAGGTTGCAGAAGTACACTTATAAGCAACAGCAAATTTAAGAAAAAAAAAAGGACTTTTTATGAACAAGAAATAGCGTCTAAGAGAAATATTTGAAGGCTGCTTTACACCAATGAGAGAAATTAATACTTCAAAATTGCCCAAGAGAACACAGCTAAGAATACAGGCTAAAACCTTCCTCTTTTCCCATCTCTTACTGAAGTCCATTATCAGAGAAATCTCTCTCTTGCTGCATATCCTCTTATAGGAAGTCAAATGCTTTACGCATTTTAAACAAGGCTGGGGCAACTGGGACAGGTCTAAGAGCTTTCCATCCATCTCAAATAGTCTATGAAATAAAGAACTAGACATACAGTACACCTCCCACTAACGCAGCCTACGCACCACATCTGTCAACCGTCCACTGAACAGTTAAGGCCAAAGTCACAATCAATATTTCAGGGCAGTGAATGACCTAAAATTAATACAGCTAACCCTTGTGGTTACAGTGACTGACTTAAGCCAATGCAAAAGGAGGCTACAATCAAAACCAGCATTCCCCTCCAATCCTGCCACAGAGCTCTAGCACTTATGTAGTCAGGGTGGAAACTAGATTGGTTATTCAGACATACTACTAAAAATTGTTATTCTTCACGTGGTTAACTTGTAGCCAAAATAGCAGAGTCCAATCATCCTACGTACACAGCCCCCAGAGCTGACAAAAGAAATCAACAGAGCATATAGCCAGTGAAGACTAGGGGATGGGGGAGGAGGAATGTCCATCTGAGTGGTAATACAGTCTTAAGAGAAGCTTACAATGAGTGAAAATGCTTTAGTGAAATATCACTGATAAAATGGATACTGTTGTTAAGATTTCAATTTCTCATATACAATGGCCATTGGTAATTAAAAAGAAAATTTTCCTACATAAATTTCTGAAGTTGCAGTCCAAGAATGCTTGCACACTTTAACCAATCTCACTATGTTCTGCTTTGGTAGCAAGGCATGTAGCCTTGCTTTCCAACTGGAAAAAAAGAAAAATAAAAGGACTAAGTACAGTTAACATATCCCTTCCCCTGAAATGAGAAGTTGCATGCACACATCCTGAGACAAGGATGAAGGGAAAGAATGACACATCACCAAAATTAATGATTTAATGAAGTACTGGAAGATATTAGCTACTACAATGATGAAGGTGGAATAAATACTACAAAAAGACAACTACAGGCTACATAAATTCCACCACAGTCCTATTAGCATAGCTACTATGAAATCTAATAGCTACTGTTTCTATTTATGAAAACAGACCTCCATGGACATTGGTAGCAAAGGAGCTGAAGGAACCTTGATGCAAGTGTTTTGTTACTCATATTTTCATGAAGTTTGTGTTTACCTGAGGTAAATACAAGTTTGGGAAATTAATTACATGAGTATTAGCTATTTTTTTCCTTTGTTCCATGCCTTCTTGATACAACAACTCCTGAATAAAAGTGACAACAGTAACACTGGACTTTTATGACTTAAAGTCTCCAAATGATACGATTTACTGCTGCTCACCTGCTTACCACTGCAGCCAAAATAAGGCAGGAAGGGTAGAACTGCTAAGCATTTTTTATTACTATTATACTATATAAAAACAGTTTTGTCAAGAGAAGATCCAGATATAAGCATGGGCTATGTCTTGCATATTTCCAAAGCAACAACCTAAATGCAAATTTCCTAGCCAGAATACTTAGTCATGAATTGGCTAAATAAAATGCCTGAAGTGAAGACCTGATTAGTGCCTAATATTTAAGCATTCTCTCGCTTTCATAGGATGCAAGAAGGATATTTAAAATGCCAGTAAAAGATACACTTGTGAGAACCAATCTGCTGTACAAAGAAGGTGTAGCACGTGCAATTGTCACAGAGCACAGAGCAGAACTTTCTTTTCCAGTGATCTTTGTCAACACAGATTCTTGATTCTTACCAGTGAGGTCGGGCAAGGGAAAATTGCTTTGATGGGCGAGCTGCTGGTTCCACCACTGCTGGGTGGGTTGATCCTTTTCTCCTTCTGGCGCCGGTTACAGAACCAAACGCGGATCACCTCCTTCTCCATGTTTAGCTGGTCAGCTATCATGGTGATCTCCTCCGAGGTAGGCTTTTGGTTCTAAGGAAAGGCAACAAGTACTTGAAAGGTGAGAAGTTACCTTCGTATGCTTTACATTATAGCTTCTCCTTCACTAGACAGAAATCTGGACAGGCTATTTACATGCAAAGTCTGCTCAGTGGTACATTCTCTAGAGAGAGATCATAATAGATACTTTTGCCCTACATTTTCCAAGTGACAGGAAAATTTGTACCAATGGTAAGCTACATTCCTCAAAGATGGGAGATGAAGACAAAGCTCACATTTGTCTTTATGAGAGAAAGGATCTGACTTGTAAGTTTATCCTTCTAGGACCTCTAGGTATTGACTGGAAAGCTTTCTTTTAGCATCTCTCATAAACAAACAGAACATACATCTGCACATACAGCTGCACAAAGGTAGTTTAGAACTGAACGTTATATATGCTGAGACTTTGTTATGTATGTTGTTACCCACTCACCCACCCTCAAAAAAAATAATTCTGTTTTATTCTTTTTGATGTGCACAATATCAAGCTTTGAGCTATTGTTCAGCACCCTGGATTGCAAAAAAATCACTGAGTCAATGAACTGTAAGAACCAATGAGATTTTGGTGGGGTGGTTGTATGTATGTTTGTTGTTGATTTTTCAAATTAAAACAGACACTGATTGCGTGCTCCTTGGAACAGTCTTTGAATTTACCTCCTTTAGTACAAGCATTTTCCTAAACAGTATGGTAATGGCTTCATTCTAGCACGTGCAACATCAAACAAAAGCTTCTTCGTTTCTTTATAGGTTGACCTGAACAACAGCATCACTGACCTCCAGGAAACTCTTCTCTAAGGCCACACGTATGTTGGTCTCTATGCTGGTGCGTTTCTTCCTCCTACGGTTCACGCCTTCGATTCCTTGCCCTGGAGAATTCAGGGCACTTGGGCTGGAGAGAGTTGAATCAGATGAGAGGTTTTCTGAAAAAAAAAAAAATAATAATAATACAAATTAAGAGATTTTATCTGAATGCAGTGCAACTTATAATGTAAGTGTTCTTCACCTGTGCATGGGACGCTAAAATCCACTCTGTATCTATTCCAGATATACAGAGATTTCCGAAGATCACGTGCATTAACTGCTGTACTTGAAACTTAAAATCTATGAGTTAAGCCTGGGAGGGTGCTGTCTTTGCTCCTGTATTCTACCAGAGAGCCCTTTTTATTTTACCTACACAAAGTTTCTTTCTCCCTTATTTCATTTCAACCCACACTCTCACACTGCAACTACAGTTCAAGGAAAAAATGCAGCAGTTGATATTCACAAGCCACAGCAATAGGCCAAAAAAAAAAATCTGAGCAATCTGAAATTTCTTTTACCTACTCTGCAATACAGTAGAGGAAGAAGGATCTCCCAGACAGCTTCACAGCATTAAACCTCTTTTCTCTGGAGATCTTAGCAGATAGTCTCTGTGCTATGTAGCTTTGCTAGAAAGCCTACATATCTAGCAGTTTCCCCCTCCTTAGCTTCAGAAGGTCTCCAGTTGTCAACTGCTAATCCTATTCTTTCTGGCTCCACAGAATAGCAAAGAGAATATGCACTTTTATCCCACTCTGCATAAGAAAGTGCAAAACAACCAACTGACAGGTTCCAAAAGGAAGCTCAGTCTAAATGACCAATTATGGTTGAGTAACACTGAAGACCCCTTGCTGCACTAGGGTTTGTGCCTGATAAGTAGACAAAGTGGTTCATAATGCTTAACATCACTCTCATAGGCTCCAATGGGCAAGTACATTCACCACATTATTTTCTACATCATATTTTTTTCAGTAACAGTACCCATAAACCTGCTGGATCCCTTCTCCACCCTGAAAATGCCACAGAACAAACCAAGTTCTGTAACAGTGAATTCTAACACTCCAACGTAACATAATGGAAGGGATCATTGGAATGCTTCTGCCACCTGCTTTTACCCAAAAATAGCTGAATGATCTGTACAGTCACCTGAATCTTTCTTTCAAAGATTTTCAAGAAATTAAATGAGAGCCAAAGACTATGGCTCCTAACTTCCAGGCTGCAAATGAGCCCAGCACTGTTAAGTCTTTAACTTCACTTTACAGATCCAAGTCTTTCTTCAGGTTAGCAGGAAATGTAAAATATGACATTCCCTCATGTCAGCTGTTTGGGGACCGTTGTCCTGTGGCCTAGAGCTGTCAGTGTGAAGTTCTTTGTGTTTCCTATCATAGATCCACATTATCCAAAGCTGCACCTGTCAAGCACAACAGAACGACACTTCCTTGTTCCATTGCAGAAATAAATTTCAACACTGCATCCAGTTAATTACAGAATTTCAGGGAATACTGTAGGTAATAGCATAAAGCTCTCTTCATCTTGATAAAAATAGGAAGGCACAAATTGTCTACGCCACCTGTTTAGCAGATCTATCAGTTTTATACTATGCACAACTGTACACTCAAAAGAAAAAAAAGCTGACAGCACTAACATTATCTATCCTAACACCTAGCACCATCACCCAAGCTTCATTTTTCTGGTGTTTTTTGTTTTTTTTTCTTTTTCCTTTTTTTCACTGTAACACTAACATGAGTAACTTTCTCCCAAGAAAAAAAATCATTCTGTGAAGAAAAAAAAAAACTAACAACTCTTCTTGTGGAGAGAAAGAGAGTGCTCATAAGGACTCTTGGAGCGAGATGAAAAGAATGCACACAGGGGATGTGGGAGGAGATGAATGCAATAAGCTCTGCTTACTGAAACAACAAAGCATGCAACTCTCTCTTATTACACATCTGAAAAAGAAAGCTAGAGGAAGATTAGAAGTTATATGCATTAACATACATGAAGGAGGAAAATCATGACACACATTACATCTCACCCCATGCAATTATTCAGCTGACTGTAGAACGCAATTCTAGAAGTTCACAATGGAACTATTTCAGACATATGTGGGCACACAAACAGGGAAGAATGGACACTTATTTCTGCACCCTTTTTTGTCCCATGAACATAGATCAGTGGCTTCATAAAACCATAAGGGCACCAACGAAGCATTTTTCCCAGAGTTTTTCAGAATCCTACTGATTTTGATAGGCTGGTGAAGAAATACACAGACTCATTCACCTGCATCATTGAGCCACTTTTCCAGAAGTGGCTTTAACTTGCACATGTTCTTAAAGCTGAGGTTCAAGGCTTCAAAGCGAGAGATGGTAGTTTGGCTGAAGTCATTTCCATAGAGTTTGCCCATAGCGAGCCCAACATCACCCTGGACAAAGAAAGAGAAAAAAGGGATTCACTAACATAGGTACTTCCAAAGCAAGGAATCCTGTCAACATCCTTGAGTATTTAGTGACTCCTCTACTGCATGGAATTCAGTTTCACAGAAACTTGCTCAGCATTAAAGATTCATGCTAAAGCGAATAAAGATAAAGAAATGTCATATTTTCAAACTTCACTCGGTCAGATTAACTATGTAACTCTTTCCAGGAAATCCCTCTTGCTTTTTCTTCTTAGCATTACCACTAATCAGAACATTCCACTGAATATTAACTTGCAATTTTTTTCTTAGTTTCTTTGGAAAGGCCAAACTCTCTTTGGGAGCAGCAGATTTAAGGCTCGATGTAATCCACATCAACAGAGAAAAGTTCAAATAAGCAGAAATACAGTGAATTTATGTCCTCAAATTAGCAGAAAAACACTCTTGAAGAGATGAATGAAGCTTGTCTACAAACTTAAGTCACATTTAAATAAATGGAAAAATACTCATAGCTGAACTTTTAGTATCTTCCGAGGTTCAAATCAAATTCCTCCTCATAGATATGCATTTCAAAGCAGGCAAAAAGTTCAATCATTTCAAATAATGATTAATGGTAGTCTTCACTACCAATACCCATCTGCCAAAAGCGATCCAGGAAATTAACAGACAGATGATCACCTCTTTACATGTTATTGTTTTTCAAAACTTAGTTTCAGCTAGCTTTCAGATATTCTGCTCAACTATAGTTATACTGCCTCCATGTATTGCATGCTTTGAAAGTCTCATTTAATAAAGACCCATTCTTGATCATGGTCATTATAAACAGCATGCTTTCAAGTTCTGTTTTACAGCATGAAGGTCTTGTCTTTTCAGAAAATTTAGTCATTTCTTACTATGTGCTATAAATTAGTTTAATTCAGTTTTTGTTTGTTTGTTTTTACACAAAAGGTGATAGACAAAAGCCTAGAAGAAAAGACTTAAGAGCTTGAGCACGGTTAGTGGAGTTTAATTGCGACTGAGTTAGTTGGATGGTGCATAAAGCTTGCTCCTCTTCCATTAGGTCAGATCCACAACCACAGCTTGACACAAATAAAGTAACAGCATGCAGAGTGGCCACACACAAGCAAGGTAAGCCTTTGGTAAGTAAATTGTGCAGGCTGCATGAAGAAAACAAACTCCTTCTTCGAAGAGGAACCAGAACAATTGGTTTGTAAGCCCTTCAAACAGAAAAGAAAAATTGAGGAAATCTCTACTCGTATCCCATGATTCTGTGCATTTCAAAACTCACAAATCATTCCATGAGAAGTAAGCTGGATGCTCTACTGAGTTTATGAATAAAACCTGGCTATGTAAACTATTTTAGACATAAGCTGTACTATGTCTTGGAAGAGAGATTTATGAAATTTGCTCCAGTTCCCAACCAAATTTAATTCTGATATCTGTGTTGTTCTTACTAACGTTTATTGTATCATTTAAAACAAATAGTTAACCATTTCTTTGTCAGTAGTTTTCAATACCAAAAGGTGGCAGGGTAGCATTGCAGATACAGGCAAAGAGATCTGCGAATAGGAATGAGAATTTCATATTCTGGAGTGGGCTACTGAAAGTACGGAACAGAGGATGAACGAGATGTCTGATCTATGCTGTAGACTGAATGACGCTCTAGAAATGAAATGAGATGGATTACAAGGTACATCACCATTGTGTGTGCTTGTCTGTAGACACTGATAGGACAAAGGGGAATGGTTTTAAATTACAGGGGAAATTTAGATTATTTGTCAGGGGACTGAGAGAGTGGTGAGGTGCTGGAACAGGTTGCCCAAAGAAGCTGTGGATGCCCCGACCCCGAAGGCATTTAAGGCCAGACTGAATGGGGCCCTGGGCAATCTGACCTAGTAGCTGGCAACTCTGCCTATGGCAGGGGAGTTGAAACTTTATGATCCTTGAAGTCCCTTCCAACCCAAGCCATTCTATGATTCTATGAAGCTCAGATGGATTAGAGGAGGTAATATCTTGTAGAGAGTAAAAATAACATTGTCTAAAATATTTGTTCACATAGCTTCAAGCTGTCCTGAGCAATTAGTCCCATAACTGCAATAACACCAAGACGCAATACTTCCACTGTAACTCTGCATGTCAGAGACAGAGACACTTTTAAGAAAAACAGTTAAACAACAGGCCATAAATACGTCTACTATGGACACTTCTGGAGGAAGACACTGCTGAAATTCGGTATCTTTTATATTACTCAGAAGGTAGAATATGGTAAGTGATCAGTTTGCTGTGCAAACAATCTCTGAAAAACAGAGGTGGGCTGGGTTTGAAAAAACTTACAGTGCTACTGGAAATAAATTTATTTTATCCTCTGAAAGGCAGTCCGCTTATCCAACTACAGGAAACTGAACTAATAGGGATCTCTAGTTATCCAATTACACAAGTAAACAAAACTCATTAGAATTGCCTAAATACATACATACACACTTAATGTAGGACAGGAATGATCAAATGCAATGTTATTGCTTGTTCTGTTTGCTATCTTTAAGCTAAAAAGCAAATACTAAAATGCAAGCTTGAATAGCTGTGATCGTTTGTCCTGACCACAAAAATTCGTAACAGGGTCAAAAAAGAAGGGTTAATCCACAGCTTACAAAGTCTTAGCTGAGCCTTTATAATCATTTCACAGTAGGACAGACTATACGTAATAGCTAAAGATCTACATAAACCTCCTCAATCAGGCTGTAGGGAAGCTATTGTGTTTTACTCTATTCTGTTCTGCTTTATTCCAGTTTTTATGTGTGTCTATCACTGCTACCTTTCTGTACCTCCCTCTAGTGGAAAGAAGGAAGACAAGGAGGCACACATGCCAGCAAAATGCACTTAATTTTACTAGGAACATTCTGTTCTTCAGTTATAATTAAGACGCTGCCAGGAACTTTCATTATGAACCCTGATTTTTCAAACATTTAAAACTCTGCCAAAAAAATAAATCTGACTTCAGCACATACTTTCAGCTAGAATAGGTTTCCTTATTCCAAGGGTGGACAAATCAAATATTCTGGACTGACTGCTCTGAAGTCAGACTTTTAAATACCTACTTGGATTTTTGTTTGCTATTTCTTCTGGCAAAACACTTCTGTGCTTAACATAGGCTCCTGACAGAATGAATTGTTTACCTGGACAGGTATTTTAATTCTGTAGTAAAATATTTCATTTTTATATTGATACAAAAGAGCTCTTGCGTCCAAGTGGTATTTCCCTTCAACAGAATAATGAATTGTATCGTACTTCTAATTGTATTCCTCATTCAACCATTTTCACTACATTCCAGATTACTTTTCTTCAGCTCTTTGCTATTTCTGAGCTTTTAAACAAAAATAAATAAATAAATAAACCACAATTCCAGTTCATCTCTGCAAGGAGAGAACTTCAAAGGTGACAGTCCTTTCAGGTTTTGTTTAGGAACCTTAGCAGAAGCATTAAATACAGAAATCATTGATGTTTAATAGCAAAATACACTTGAGAGATAAAAACCCTTTGACAACCAAAGCAACTCCACAGTTGTGACATACTTTTTTTTTTAAACACACAGAGCAGTTAATTGTGCTGTAGGATTTTTTTGGAACTTTGTACTTCTGAAGGCAGCTTTAAAGTGCTTTGTCCCATTCATTTTAAATCCTACAGAATGGATAGTGCGCATGCAATGACATCTGGAGCTGGTAAATGCATGTACCTGCTGGGAAAATGGCTATGCTTTAAAACCAACAGGGATGTAAGATGGATGTATGGCTTTTTCTGTTATTTCTTAGAAATCCCCTACATAAAGGCCAGAGCATAACCCTATTTAAGAAGGTACTCCTAAGAAAAGGTGGAATTGTAGTCCCCCTCCAGACTTGAAAGATGAAACCTCAGATTCCACACTGGTAGGCACTAAGGTACGCAGTCTCACCTGAGTGAATCCAAGTTTGATCCGTCTTTGTTTGAAAGTCTTGGCAAACTGCTCAAGCTCCTCAAGGTCACTGGGCTCCTCCAAGCTGGGAGTGTCTATTCGCTTTGGTGTTGACTGGCTCTGTGGAAGTGGCTGAATGGGGGTCGCTGCTATTGTGCGTGTTGGGGTTGCTGGCTATTAGGATAGAGGGCAAGGAAAACATGAAAATCAGACTTAAAAGAATTACCAGCAAAAAATAACCTTAGAAAAAGTATGAGAGGTTTCTGCGAGAAAGATCCATGAATTTGACATTTCCATCAATCTGAAAGTTCTTTAAATTTATCTACATTCTTCTCAAAAACAAGCAAACACAACTCAGAAAACTATCAATATGACAGTCTTTTAAAGGCTCTGACAGAACCCATTAAAGAAACCTACGAGATGTTCAGTGCAGCAGATAACAAACAACTTCAATTTGCTACAGAAGCCGCTCAAAGAAGGGCTGAACGCTCCTACTTGATATAGTTCTATTGGCTATAGACAGCTAGGTATTCATGCCATTTTAATCACTTAAAAACTGAATTTACTACTTGTATGAAGTCGCAGATTGTCATCAGCCCAAAAGTATGAACTCTCCTGTATAATCTTGGAACAGTGAGCACCTAAAGGGGCAGCACAAGTAGCAAGTTTCCTCTAATGCCACCTCTCATGAGTGACCCAACAATTTGAGTAAAGAAAAAAATACATTGCTCTCTAACCCTTCTGTTTATACTTCCAACAATAAGGGTGACAGCACTGATGATATAAGAAACTAAGTAAAGGCAACCTGCAAAAAAATTAATTCCTTTTAGATCTTATTTTACTTCTGCATAAAAAGCAAATCTTCCAGAAAGTCAGCACAAGGCTCACTCTTCCTGAATATCAACAAACAAGATCCAGCAGTAAGAATTTGTTTAAAAAAAAAAAAACATAATCTCAACAGGTGAACAACATACATTAAAATATGATATTGCACAGTTCAGGTTTTATGTGCTGCAGAAATACTGAAAACATGTTTTGGGTACAAACCTCTAACTTCTGACATGCAATAGATAACCTGAGATACACAGACAAATCTTTTACTTGAATGATATTCTGTTCAGCTGATTAGCTTTTACATCCTACATCCAACTCCGAAACAACAGGCTCCTTCAGCACAATTCATTCTCAAGTCTATGCAACGCCACAGTAGCTTGCAAAGATCCAGAAATGGCTGTTCTAAAATAAATACTCCATACATAGCTGAGTCTTTACATAATAGTTGTTTTTTTCCTGGCTTAGTGCAGTAGTATCATGCAATGCATAGCAGATGGTAGAGGAAGGTCAGTATCGATAATTGCATTACTTGAGAAATAACACGACCATGTATGATCTTTCTAGGACTGCAGACGTATGTGCCCCAGTATTTTTAAATTGATGCTAAACACAGTGAATAATTACTTCACTGTTTTTATTGACTTCATCTCCTTTATACAATTTACTTTGTCTTAGTGGCTTTGATACTTTTTTAAAAATCCAAGTACAATCTTTAGTGGAGTCATGCTGCTAACCTCTATAGTTTACACTACGGAGGTGAGACCAATTTCATTTTCTGCATGGCGCATGAAGAGTATTATAGGTGGTATAATAGAAAATGTAGTTTTCTAAGACTCTGATAGACACGGGCATCTTATTACAGACTAAACATTTCTTACATGTAACCAAGGCAGGAAAATACTGTATGATGTTACATAGTATTTTAGAAACAGCATGCAATCATGTAACTAAACTGCATAGTAAAACACAGAGAGAAGCAAAATTAAATTTGCAGGCACGTGCAATCTTAGAATTGGTTTTCTTACTGTCTGAGAGCTTAATCATAGAGCTTTAATATTTTAACATATATCTAACAGAATACTTTAACGCATTTCTGACAATATCTTCTCTTCCATAGAAGGTAACTAATAAGACTGGCAGTGACTTGACAATAATAGTCAAACAACTCAGCTAGAATAGTGACAGATTACCACTGCAATCTCTAAAAAAGATACTAGTCTGTAATCCTCTTTTTGTGCAGCCCACACCTTGCTCGTCCAAATTTCATAAAAGTATAAAGTTTCCAAGAAAACCCTACAAGAAATCAAATGCTCCTCCAGTCCCATTAAATCAAAATGCTAAACATGAAAACTTTCAGCAAAAAATAAAAACAAAGTCCATGGGAAAAAAAAAAAAATATATATATATATATATATATATATATATAGCACATTCAAGTGGAAAGTTACAAAACTGAAGTTACAGGTTATTCTGTTCTACACTGAATTTATCCAGAAAGACAAATTCAATACTATCACCATATTTATACCTGTAGTAGAGCTGTATTTGCTACTGTAACTAAGATACAAAGGGCTTATTCTCTTGCAATGATTCAAATCCCTCAGAAACTCATGAACTCTAGAAATAAGGCTGACCTGCGAGGCAAGGGTGATGCTTGGCTGAGACTGCAGGAGGTTGGCTTGGCTTTGCTGAGGTAGTTGCGTTAAGAGATTCTGCGCTTGCAGGAGACCTGGAAAGAGAAAATGGTAGTTTGGGGTTACCTACAGAACAATGACTACAACATGGAACGAGGTGAAACACAGTTCTTGCCAAATAATCAACGTTACAAGAAATCCGAGATGCAAGCTGTTATTTTATCCCTGCAGAGATGCCTCCAGACTTTGGAATTTGCAGGCCAAAATCTTGTATTTTTCTGAAGTCAGCACACGCTGACATAAAGGTGAAACAAAGAAGTCTGTGCTACTCTCCTCTGTAAAAACAATTGCAGTGACTGAAGTTCTCCAAGTTTTGTGTGCAGGAAGCATTTATTGCCCCTTTCAGCTTGCAGACATCACATGCAAACTTCCTGCAACCAATAGCTGATTGAGAGTCAAGGAGCCATGCAGAAGTAAAAAGGATTGAACACTAATCAAACATATCAAATGGGCTCCTTGACCATTCCTCTTTCTCTGCAAGCCACTCCATGCCAGCTGCCTAACAAGAAGGCAAGTTTCTCTGGCAAACTTACGCAAATCACACCAGAAGACAAAACAAGCCCAGGTGACAAGCTTCTCTTGGCCAAAATATAGAAGAAATCTTTTGCAAAAATAACAAGAGGCTAAACGCTGTTTACATTGAACAAATAGAATAAGCATTACACAGAGTATACGAAGCCTCCCACTATTATGAAATGAAAACATTAAAGAAAAATTGAGATTGATGCAACCAATGTACCCAATACTCTGTCACTCAAAAAAATAAATTCTCTTACAGTCTGCATGGCTTATCAAGTATTTCCAGGAATTAATATCTTTGCATCTATGTAATTTAACCAGAAATTATCTGAAATTTTCTGCATTACTAACTATATTTTTAAAGAGTAATAAACTAGACAAAGATAGATCTACAGTTAATCAGTTCCCTTGATCTTACTGCAAATAATACTACAGATATTCTGCGTAACTCCTGACTATGCCTATGAACTATCCCTATAACAATTTTAGGCTCTGACTAATTAAATCTACATTTAACAAGCATTTTAAATAAAGTTCCTAAAAATCGGGAGTGAATGCGAGGTGACACAGCAACAGCAGACAGATGCTGGTGACCACTCAGAGGACAGAATATCAAGTAGAACACAAAGAAAACTGCACAATTTGAGTCTGTCCATCTGACATAGTGTGTCCAGGCTCATAAGCTGGCAGGGCACACCACACCACAGGTATCTTTTAGCAGAATACAGACAAGGGACACATGAACTAGGACTTCATAACTAGCAAGTGGGAAACTAGAAGCTTGAGAGGATAATATCATAGGAGACACAAAAATTATCCTGGGACTATCTAGGCAGACAGAAGAAAATGCATCTTTTGTGAGGGATGCTAAACTACAGAAGAATTGTCTTCTGACACTGATTTTAACGTAATAAAATTGTAAGAGAATTTTCCTTACGCTAAATAACAGTACAGCACAGACAACTTTGCAAATTTGCTTTGTATCACATGATGAATGTTGTGGCTGCAGTTCTGAAAAATCATGGTGAGGGAATGGGTCAGTTTGAGAAATTCCAAGACTGCTAACTACTAGCACACATACAGTGCTTATTCCAAGGCAAATGTTTGTCTACTTGTAAGATTATTTGAGCTACTTGAATCTAATTACTAATTAGAGAACAATCACCTCTAACTGAAGAACTTTTGATTTCAACTGAGAATTTGAAACAGAAAGGGCCAAAGCATCACAGTGATGCTATAAAGTGCTGACCAACAGTGAGACAAAAAATGGCATCTAACTGTGACCACATGTGATCTTCAATCTATCTGCTAACACCACAGATCACACGTTATTGACTCACAATTGTAATCAAGAGTACTTAGGATTATCCTTTTGCTATGCTTTGTCCTGTCAGTCGTGCCTAACCAATCTGGTGGCCTTCCATGATGGAGCAATGGCATTGGTGGACAAAGTGAAGATGACCGAGGTCATTTGCCTGGACTTGAGCAAGGCCTTTGATGTGCTCCCCCACCACATCCTTATCTCCAAATTGGATGGATGAGGATTCGATGGATGGACCACTCGATGGATAAGAGACTGGTTGAAAGGCCGCAGACAGAGGGTGATGATCAATGGCTCTATGCCCAGGTGGAGGTCAGTAACGAGCAGCATCCCCCAGGGGTCTGTCTTGGGACCAGTGCTCTTTAACATCTTTATCAGTGACATTGATGACGGAATTGAGTGCACCCTCAGCAAGTTTGCTGATGGCACCAAGCTGAGCGGTGCGGTTGACATGGTGGAAGGAAGGGGTGACAGTCAGAGGGACCTCGACAGGCTGGAAAGCTGGGCTCGGGTGAATCTAATGAGGTTCAACACGGCAAAGTGCAAGGTTTTGCTCTTGAGCTGGAGGAATCCCAGGTGTGTACACAGACTAGGAGGAGCAGTCCTTGAAAGCAGCCCTGCAGAGAAGGACCTGGGGGTTCTGATGGATGAAAAACTTAACACGAGCTGGCAGTGTGCTCTTGCAGCTCGGAAAGCAAATGGTATCCTGGGCTCCATCAGAAGCAGGGACAGGGGAGCAGACTGTCCCTCTCTACTATGCTCTTGTGAGGCCCCATCTGCAGTACTGTGTCCAGGTGTGGAGCTCCCAGTACAAAAAAGACTGAGAGCTGTTGGAGAGGGTCCAGAGGAGAGACACAAAGATGAAGGTGCTGCAGCACCTTCCCTATGAAGACAAGCTGAAGGAGCTGGGCTTGTTCAGCCTGGAGAAAAGAAGGCTGTGGGGTGATCTCATTGCAGCCTTTCAGTACCTAAAGGAAGCCTACAAACAGGAGGGAAATCAACTCTTCGAAAGGGTAGATAACAGTAGGACAAGGGGAAATGGTTTTAAGTAGAAGGAAGGAAGATTTAGGTTGGATATCAGGGGAAGTTCTCTACAGAGAGTGGTGAGGTGCTGGAACAGCACCAGGGAGGTTGTGGATGCCCTGTCCCTGGAGGTGTCCAAGGCCAGGTTGGATGGGGCCCTGGGCAGCCTGATCTAGTGTTAAATAGGGAGGTTGGTGGCCTTGCCTGTGGAGATTCATGATCCTTGAGGTCCCTTCCTACCCAGGCCATTCTGTGATATCAGGTGGCTCTGTAAATGAATGACCTCAAAGAAATCACACAGGATATTTTTCTGGCAGTAACACTTTGCTAAAGAGCACGCACTGACTATGCTTTTCCTCATTTTATTCTTGCTCATATATTCTGAAGTAATTATCACTGAAGGACAGAATAAAATATCCTGAACATGTTTCACACACATAGTTGTTATTTTACCCTTCTTAAATACTGATGCTAAGTCCCTCAGAAAGAAACTGGAGAAAGAAAAAGTTAAACTTCTAGATGACCAGAGTAATAATTAGGAATCAGAGAAAGCAGCTGAACTGTTTTAGTAAAGTATGCATCTCTCTCATCTACTTTTCAAACAGTTGCCATCTTTTCAGATGAGATTTGTACTTGGCTTTTTTTCCCCAAAAATATTACTCCCCATGCTTTGGTCTAATAAAACTTCAGTGACAGTACAGAGCCCTTAGCATAGCCTTTAAAAACAGTTTAAGTACAAAATGGCACCCTTTAGGCAACTGCAGTGGCATTGGTGTTTCAGACTGGTTTGCTTCTTTGTGAACTGATACTGGTGCCAATGCTGTTTATTGTCTTTATTACTAAAATGTACAATAGAACAGAATATACTCTCAGCAAGTTTGTGGACATCAAATAGGAGAGCAGTCAATTGACTATAAGCAGGGGTCCAGGCTAGCTGGACAAATGGAACCTCATGAAGATCAATGGAAGAAAATACAAAGTCCTGGGTATGGGCTACAATAACCCAGTAGAGCAATACAGGCTGCGCACTTACAGTCTAGAGAATAGTTTTGCAGAAAAACACCTGGGGGTGGGCAACAAATCAGCTCTATGCCTTCTTAGCAATCACATCTTAGGTTATATTAATTAGTAAGAGTAGTAAGTATATATATTATAAGTAGTATATTAATTAGTAAGAGTCAGTAGGTAGGCCACTGATTCTACCTAAGTAAGACCGTATAAAAAAAATGTATGTCCAGCCTGTGCTGGGCTGCCCAATACATCTCCAGTACAAGACACAATGACATCCCAGATTCATACATTCAATGCCTATCGAAATGGCTAACAAGTCTAACAGTCACACAAGGAATGTGCCAATAGATCTGTTTTGCTCAGCTACTGCTGTCTTCAAGTATAGAAATGGACTATTCTTGAGGGTGTGCACAATAGTAAGCAGCAACAGATAGAAGCAAGAACATAGAAAACTCCAACTAGATAAAAAGAGAGTTGTTTTTCTAGGCACTTTTCTGTGTGTGGACTTTTTTCATTATGCTTTTTTAAATTGAGAGAAGTGCCTGAAGAATTTCTAGCCTTGAAGATGTTCAAAAATCAACTAAACCAGCCAGAGACCATTACTGTTAATAGAACAGATGGATAAGAACGCTACAAAATCTCTATACAGTCCCTTTCAACCTATGTGATTTTATTTTATTTTTTAATCCATAAGAAATACTGTAGTATCCATATCCTCTGGATACTGATATCTAACCTTGCAGAGTTAGAATCCAGTATAGAGGGTCAGAAATAGGAGTCCAGCAGTTTTACTGCACTAATAATGGAAAATAAATCAATTACATGAAACTGATTGTATGGATAATTGTATGGGCGTACAGAAGGTTACATGCAAGAAAAGTCTGCTGTTTTAGAGGTATCTAATTTTGTTTTAAATATTTAAAGTAAAGGCATCTACAATCACCCAGAACTTTTCCTCTAATATCTACAAGGAATGTAAATGACAGCTCAAGCCAAAGAATTCCTGCCAACCAACAGTCCCTAAGGACTGATCTGGGGTTTAGTTGCTATTGTCTAAAACTAAGCAAATATTGAAGTGCAAATTTTTTCAGCATAATCTTTGAAAAGTTGGCTCATCATCATAATACATAATTTATCTCCGAGCTCCCTAAAAGAGTGATTTTTTTCACTGATGAAAAACTTGACTGCTTTTTCTCTGCCAAAGCTGTTCATTTTCTCACAGATGTACCCTGGAAGTTGGCATGTACAGAGCAAAACCATTATATGATCATAATTTGATTAAATGGGGAAAAAAAACCAAAACAACGAAAAGAGAAGTATCAGACTACACATTACATACAGTGTTATTTGATCAACTTCACCGACCATTCTAAATGCAAAGAAACTCCTCCCGGTCACTTCAGCGTACCTCATTTTATCTAATCCTGATCTTCTCAAGTGGGGACTTAGAGCTGGAATCATACTGGGAATCAACACAGTAGAGAATGTACTAACCTACTAACCTACAGATTCCTACAAGCACGTTGCACAGATACCATCCCACCGCACGCTGCTGTACCTTTTGCAGGATCCACTTAACTTTTAGGATCAGTTCAAGAATATGGATGCATACATGCTGAAGCTGGTGAACTGCAGTGTTGAAGAAATACCACTTCATTGATCTATGCAAAGGTGCTGCCACCCTACTACTATGAAAATCTACATTTTTACCTACTACCTATTTGGATTGCTAGCTCTGAAGTCTTGATTTCAAAGCAGGTAGTAAATATTAAGGACTTAATTCATATCTTGGTAATGAATACCTGTAGCCTGGAG